TATGAATGTGATAAAGTTGATTAATCTTTGTTGAGATCTTGTAGAGTGCTCTATGAATGGATAAATGAGGGCACAGATTGTAGTGTAAAGCTCTTTGAGTATCTTGATAAGATAGAAAGGCCATGTATGAATACAGTCCATTTAACAGTTACCATTTTTTCATAATATTATTCATTTAGTCATAGTACTTCCACATAGTTTTATTGTTTATTTTTGTGTCCCACTAATCTTTTTTTATGTTTAATATTTTGTAAATCTTTGAATAATAGATAAATAAATGCTAAAACAAAATGACTTTCTGGATGCATCAAACATGTTCTAGCAATGTCCCTCTACAGTACCGGTAGTGTGTGTGGCTTATACTCAGGTGTGCACTATTGATCGGAAAGTACTGTAATTTGTACGTTCAAAATGTGCAAACGATGTATTATGTGATTGCAAAATTTAGACACAACATGTATATGGGAAAAGGTCCAAACATCTGTGTTTTTTTTTTTTTTTCACTATTATCTATTGTTACTTGAACACGTATTGAGACGATCAAAGGCACAGCACAGGTTGAACAACTAGGAGATAACGTTAGAGAGGCCACACTGACATGGTTTGGATGTGCATGTTAGAAATTCAGCTTCCGGGAAATGGACAAAGAGGAAGGCAAAGAGATAAAGAGGACATGGTTGGAATGAGGACAGAGGACAGATTGGGGAGGATGACTTCCTGTGGCGACCCCTAAAGATGGAACAGCTGAATCAAGAAGATTTGGACGATTCACATTTTGAGAGCTCTGAAGCAGATTAGCTACCATATTCAAACAATAAGCTAAATGGCCTGTAAAGCCCCAAAAATAAACAGATACGCATCTTTTTCCATCACAATGACACCCTGGTTTATTCCACTCATGGTCATTCAGTGCTCCCGTCTTAAACAACACAATGCAAATTAGACTAAGGTCACTGTGTCAGCTCATTTACTTTAGTGGAAAGTACCAAAAACCTGTTCAATACTCCACCGCACGTTTCTGCTCCACTTTAAACTACAGGAAATGCTGGACATGATAAGTCACTTCTTTTTTTTCCTACTGATTTGATAATAAGTTGTTTTTTTTCCCCCTCGTTATCTTCAGCTATCAGTTGTTTTCACTTTTTAAATTTCCATTTGTGCTGAGAAAGTGTTTGTTTTAAACATAGGTACTTGTGTGAAAGGAAGAGTGCAAAGGGGGCGCAAACTTCCTCTCAACTAGTTAAATGTGCTCGCATCCAGGGCAGAGGATGTTGGGTAAAAATATGAAAGCACCATTTTTCGCCTCTGTGATCTTATCGTGCCCATCTGGCATAACAGGCTTCAGAGATTTATTATTACGCCTGAACACAACCCTGCCACAGCAATCACAACTAATCCCTTCCAAAGTGCTTTGCAATCCCATAAACTGTATTGTATGGATCCATCAGGAGGCTAAAAATGAATAAATAAACCCAAATGTAGCAGCAAGCGTTTTTTAAATTTTTTTTTTTTTTTTTACTTGGTCATTTTAAGAGGTTGTAATAAATAGTTGCAGTGTTATGGTGTATGTTGTGCTACCCAGCTGCCTCAGTTGTTCTATTGTTTGACAATTGTTTACCAGCTGTTGTTTCGTGTTGCATCTGTTGCGGCTTATGCTTCATGATTATACTGAAGTTGGTATTTTGCAAGTGAATAAAGGAGAGCATGAACCCAGAAGTAAAAAAAAAAAAAAAAAAATACAAAAAAGTATTGTATTTCACAAAATGTATCTCTCATTATAATACTCATCATTATACATTAACACATATTTGTGTGGAGTACTTGTCCAGAGGTTTTAATTAGCTAGTTTGTTTCTTAAAATGTCCAGCTCTGTAGTTTAGGGGTTTCTTGCTTGAAAATAAACATTATGAATATCTTTGAAATTAAATCTCATTTATTAGCTATTTCAAAATAAAAGTAAGTAAAAAATAGGAGGAACTCTCCAGTGCTGAAATATGTTAAATAGTATACTATGTTTGCACACATCTGTATATGAAAGGTGCCCTTATGGTTATAGCCAGTGATGGGCACGGTTCCACTAATCCGCTTGTAGTGGAGGTAACTTTCCATGTAGTCTATTAGCATTTTTCCTTAACTTTGAAAACCTTTGCGGAAATAGCTTCCACTACTTTTGAATCTGGTAAATTCAAGTCTACTAATTTTTGAAAAGACAATTCTTCACACTGCAAGTGTTCAGGAGAATGGTGCACACAGCGATGCTATGCTATGCTACACAGAGTTCAGCAAACGTAAGCACCACCCTGTGATGTCACCAAAGTTTCAGTGCTTTAATCCTCTTCATGGTAAGTTTCTTTCAGCTACTCCCTTCAAGGGTCACCACAGGAAGCAAACTCACATGAAGGATTTGGCAATTTGTTTTATGCCAGATACCCTTCCTGACACAACCTCTGGATAACAAGACTGCACCACTGACCACCAAGCTACTGCAGCCCAGCCTTTATCCTTTCCATACCTGTCACAAACAGTTTGACTCATGGTGTTAGTTTACAGCCAATAACAGAGACTTTAATAGAAAAAGCCAAACCAGAACAGGAAAATAAAATGATTAAAAAAAAAAATCACACTCAAACTTCTTAAACAGTCAGAAACATTGCACACATAATTCCTACCCAGCATGATTTGCAATGCTCACCCGGTCTCTGGGACGTGACTCTCGCACCTTTCACACCTCTTTACTTTAATACAGATTTATTACAGAGAGAATATTGATGATTCACAGCAACTTTGTATTTTATAAAAATACTATAATTAAAAACAAAGAGGGTCGCCAAATTGAGTTAATTCATTTCAGTAAATGACACGATGGTAGATGTCCTACACACACTGAATGCATCACTCTGCTTCTGCACAGCAGAGGTGATTTATGAACCGTTTAGAGTTGCGTTCACTTACAAGGTTGTCACATTACAGACGGTCTTACAGCGTCAGCAACGGTATGAGAAGTTAGTTTACTGTGAGCTTCTGCTGATTTAGAAAAAAAATCTGTTTAGCGGATTAGCATTGACAAAGCTATTTTTTTAGTTGGTGAATGAAGCTATTTTTTGGTTAGCTGTGCCAACCACTAGTTATAGTCGCACCTGGAACTCGTCCACTAAGTGTTGACTCTTTAAATTGTATTTATTTAGTTTTAGTTGACCACTCATATACTGTTGCTAAAAGTTTATTTTTTATTTATTTAAGAAGTACTTTAGGAATCCAAATACCATTTTTTTTATTCTGACAATTTTAATGTTCTTAATACCAAGCATTTTCAGGGTTCCTGCTTTGAGTCATTGTGCTAATGAAACTTTAAATTTGCTTTGCCTGACCTTTCCTGACAATTATCATCAGTCAAAGCTCAAATACGTTCATTAAAGTCTAGGTCTTGGTAGAACCTTTAGAAACTCGGAACTATTGGGAACTTTCAAAGTCAGAAGTCAGTTAATTATTTCCAATCATAAATTTTCATTGGAGTTAGTTTGATATTTCAATGTATCACCATAACTGAGCTTTTTGGTTCATAAACTTCCAAAGATAGTCCCCTCATCTTTCTGGTGATAAAGGGGAGAAAATGTATTTATGTGAAAACAAAATTCACCTTGAAAAGCGAAAAGTGGCGCTCACATGTGAGATTTATATTTATTTGTCTGATTTTAATTTATGTAACAATAAACTTAAATAGTTCACTCTTCAGCAGTATTTGATCTGAAAGTTTAAAAATTACAAAATCAATAATAGGTATTATAACACTGAGATGATTTTTTTTAGGAGTGAAATCACTTCACCCAAATAGGTTGATGAAGACAACATGATGTATTTGTCTAAATTGGTGGTTCGTAATGTTGGGGTCAGGTTCTCACAATGGGTCAAGTGTTGGCACTTGGAATGATTTTTAACAAAAAATATATATATTAGAATTGTTCTGCCATAATTGTTAAAGGTAAAAATGTTGCTACAAATAAAATAAAAATAAAAAATCTATAACGATGTTTGTGGTAATACCTTTACTTAATTGCAATGTTAGCATTTTTTTCAACCCAAGATAGTTGGGATCACAAGTTGCTGCAGCTTTTATTTTTTAGGTCAGAAGCTAAGTTTGGGAATGTTTGATCCAACTAATTTGTAGCTCTTTCTTCTCTTTAATCGTGTTTTTTATGAGAATTTTTTATTTTTTTTTCTCATTTTCTATTTCGTCAGGTCAATAATGTTAATTTAGGGTTCAGGTCTAGGTTAAAATCCCTGTTTTTGTTGACAGAACTACCTTAAGAGAAGCGTAATTAATTAATTTTGAAATAAGTAAAAAAAAAAAAAAAGTATTTTTCACCATATAAGTCACACCTTTTTGCATAAATTTGCAAGTTATGCGACTTATACGCCAAAGCGACTAATATACTGTACGTTTTTTCCCTATATTTATAACAATATTTGGCTGAGATCTGACGATTTACTTCATTCTGACATTAAAAATATTAAACTACCATATGGCAAGCCAAGTGTCTAATTAATAGGTAAAAGTGGCTATTAATGAGACACTTGGCTTGCCATACAGGTCACCTTCGTCTCACTCTGGAACTCCTGGAGCAAACGTCAAATCAGCTGCATTTCACTGCGCCGCCCACATGAAATGCAGCTGATTTGACCATTAAAGTAAGTTTATTAAGGAAAAGTTCAACTGAGACACACCTTTGCTATAATGTCAAGCAAACAAACAATTGTTTTTAAGTGTTAATCTTGTTAAATTCTTGTTAAAGTCCTCCTGTGCACGCTCCCGTGGCCACCATTTGTCAGCCAACCGATTTGTGGCACAACACCGGCCCCCGTTTCCAGGTGGTCAGTGGTGACGCATAACAAATGCGGCGCGTCAGCGGTGACTCATGATTGATGCGACTTATACGGCGGTGTGACGTGTACAGCGACACGTACGGTAGCTAACTCAGTCTTTCTTTGTGTTTGTTTTCCAGTGAAGAAAGCCAAGCTCCAGGGGCCACCAGGTAAGAAATAATAGTCTGATTAACATGACATTTATTTTATTTATTTTTATCCTCCATACCAAAAAAGTTAGATGTTTTGTTATCATGCAGGTGATTATTGTAAGCTTGTCATTTTCTCATGTAGTCTTATTGGTTCAATTCTGTCAAGTCACTAAAAGCAGAGTTGATTTAGCATTATGTAATCCTTTGTCACCTGGCTACGGTAAACTGTGGCCAGGTGAGCTTAGATTGCTTACTTCAAAGTCTAATCCCCTATGCTCTCCACCTAAGCAAATCCTCCCTGTGTCCATGATCACACCTTTCTTTAAGCTCTGTGACAGTTCTGCCAAGAGCTGACAGCACGGACAGAAAGTCACCTCATTTTTAGACGTGCCAGTGATATCTGATTCTCTTTTGCTGTAACCGTAATCATCCAGCAGATCGCTGCATATGTTCAGCTCCTCATTTGTTGGTGATAAAGTAGATAACCTTGCAGGACCTGTACATCATCCCTTTCTTTGCGACCTCTTCCCTGTCATGAGTGACACAACATGTGACACCTATCCCAGAGCAAACATTAACAGTAATACAGTTAAGCTGGTCATCTCCCAGAAGTGAGATGTTATTATAGGTCACATAAAAAAAGACAAACTGCGGTGGAGAATACATGGAAAAAAAACTTTACCTGATTTGTTGCTGTGCTTTAAAAAAAGGAATTAAACATTTTTACGGTTTTACATTATTAGGATTTTACATTCTTCATTCTGTTCTGCGACTCTGAACGAATGTAGCTAAAATATGATGAACATTTTGATTTTAGATCCTTGGTTTTGAGTTTCAGACTTTTTTAATAGATGCACTGACAAATTGATGTAGCTGCAGTGTGTATTCATGTCTAGTTTCACAACGGTATCGGTTTACTCTGCAGAAATTAATGCTTTAAAGCACATTAATCTAAAATTTCCTGTTGAAATGCAAACATAATGGGGCATGTTTCTCAAGAGCTCTTGAGAAAGCATCGATTTACAAAACATATAAATCAGTGAATGAGTCGACAGATTATCATCCTCTTGCGATGAACTTTTGAGTCTACCATAATAAAATGGTGCAAAATATTGTTCTGCTGCAGATGAAATAGATTTTTGGAAATTATTTTAGGTAAGTGTGTTTATTAATTACTTTTAGAGGAGCAGTTTCAAAGAGTTAGAATTGATCATGTGATGCAACATGCTACATAGCATAAAAAGTAGTAAAAGGAAAGTGCACATATAAAGGATGCAACAAAATTATGTGAATTCCTTTTAAACTTGTGAATCAAAAAAACAACAGCAATAACTTTTGTTCTAGTTTTTTTTTATGCTTAATTACAGTTATTTATCTGACATTTTGTTTTGTCATTTATCCAAACTCAAGAACTGAATTGATATCCTTTGGTTGCCATATTGGGGAAAAAAAAAAAAATCTTAAGCCATTAAACCTGAAGCATTGCATCAACCAATCAGATCAGTAATATCATAAAAACCCAAAACTGCGTCTGCAATAATAAACTAATAAACAGATTTATTGTTTTTTCCGGGGTTGTCGCGGCTGCTTGTGCAGGGAGGCCCAGACTTCTCTTTCTGCAGCCACTTGTTCCAGCTTTTCTGGGAGGACTCTGGGACTTTCTCAGGCCAACTGGGAGATGTAGTCTCTCCAGCATGTCCTGGGTCTTCTACCAGTTAGACATGCTCAGAAAGCCTCCCTATGGTGGAGTCATGGAGACATGGAGACATTCGTTCAACCTTTATTTATACAGGTTAGTCTCATTGAGCCATGAGGACTCATTTTACAACAGACTTGTTTTAAACAAAGAACACAGATGAGGTACAGACAACAATAGACAATCATATAAAAAGTATATCAACTGAAAAGGTAAATGGAAGAAATTATATAAAAATGTAACAACAACAAAAAAAAAGCTACCTTATAAAACGTAAAATACTAAAAACAGGAACATGTCTGTGTTGTTTTTTTGCCACAAACTTAGCAGTTGTTTAAAATCCCTTAGAGAGGTCAAGGTCGAGAGCTTCAGATCTTTTTACAAGGTGTTCCATGATACAGGAGCCGAGTAAGAGAAGACCCTTTTACCTAGTTCAGTCCGTGCTGAGGGAACACTGCAAGTAAGTATGTCCTGAGGGCGCACGTTGTAGCTGCACTCACAGAGGGACATTTAGGAGGAGATGTATTAAGGACACAGACCAAGGAGTGATTTAAATATGAAAATGTACCAGTGAGAGTCTGCATGAAGTTAATGATAACCACAAACAAGGTTGAATCATGTCATCTGGACTTCCAGTCCAGATGACATGATTCAACCTTTTTTGTTGTTATATACCTGGATGACTGAGAAAACAAACTTTGTGTTAATGATAACCAGTTAACCAGTGAATACAGGGTGCAGTGGTGGGTGCAATAGTTAGTCAGTTATGATTCTTAGCGCACCGTGATAGACAGGATCCATCATCTGCAGGGTGCTTGTAGGAGCATTCATGTAAACAATGTCACCGTAGTCAATGGAGGGAAGGAAAGTAGCAGTTACAAGGCGTTCAGAGCTAGACGAGATCTATTTCTACAAAATAAACCCAGTTTTACTTTCAGTTTCTTTACCAAGTTTTCAACACGAGGCTTAAAAGAGAGAGGCAAATCAACCAAAACACCCAAGTATTTATAAGAATCGACAAACGCAATAGGGACACCATTCAAAGATAAAATAGAAGGAAGGACTGCTGGCACCGACTTCCTGTTTGAAAACATCCCTTTGATTTTGTCAGCATTTAGCACCAGTTTAAGACGGAACAAATCTGACTGGATGATGTCGAATGCAGACTGTCATAGCTGTAAAACCTTAGCAACTGTTCTAGCTCGACAATAAACTACTGTCATCATCATAGAAATGTAAGGATGATCTGACCTACATTACATAAATAGATTGTGGAGACGGTGGGTCCTAATACTGAACCTTGTGGTACACCATTGTTGACAGCATCAGAGGGCTGTGAAAGCTGCAGAATCTGATTTTATGTTCAAAATGATCACAGTAAATACCCTCAAACCAGGAGTTCTTTAAACCTGTTTTAAATCTGTCTGACCCTTCACAATGCTTGGCTGTTTTTTCAGCAGTTTGAGCCTGTGTCTGATTCCGTTTTAAAGGAAATAGTTTTTAAGACCTTCTGATTTTCCTCTAGATATCCTCCTCTATCGACTTTTAAAGGAAGCCCTTCATATCACCGGGCCTTGTATTTTACTCACATGCTGTAGTACAAACAACTATCAAAAGCAAAACTTTCATCCCAATGTTCTTTCTAACTATAGTCCAATATCTAAATGACCTTTCATGTTCTAAGTTTTAGAATAGGCTGTTTTGAATCAACTTCAGACCTTTCTAGACTCTCTTGAAATATGTGAAGCTTTCCAGTCTGGTTTTAAATCCTGTCACAGTGTTGTGCCGGCACTTTGTGGGAATGAAGCAAAGGATCTTTTTATTTATTCTTCCCTTCCTCAGTGTAAATTCTTCTTTCATTTTTTTCATTGTCCTCATTTCCTTGTGATAATCCCTGTTTGCTCTTCTTAGGAAGATGTGTGGAGGAGGCCTTAAAGTTTACATAAGGTTGGTTTGTGAGGGGTGTTTGCGTTGTGCTTTCATCACATCCAGTTGGATGGCTTTTTGACCTTTTTTATGGAACTCTTAAATATGGGTGTTCCTGAAAACTACTGTCCATGTAAAACTGAGTGTGACCTTGGGTGGGCCAGTGCCCAGCTGTGTCGCTTTCCACTGACTGCCACAGGAAACTGGAGCTAGATAAAGACTGGATTGATGTTGAACTGAACCGTGTTCTTGCCGACATGTGTAGGTGATTAGTATTTCTTATTTGAAAGCCATGATTTTAGCGTGTAGAGTAGAATGCAGATTTCCATGTGGAAAAGAAAACTTTTTATGATGTAGTCTAAAAAAATAACTCCTTTTGCATGCAACATTTATGAGTGGTCTGAGCTGCAAATGTCAGCCTTCCAACTGCATGCATTTTTCTGACTAATTTATTGAAAAACTCAACATCAATCAATAATAAACGAAGACCTCAGACTTGAGGGCTCGGGCTGAGTGGGTGGTTTAAAGACAGAAAAGATGACTTCTGCCTCAGAACATCATCCTACAATTCACTTAATGTAATCCCTAATTATATATTTGCAAATGGCCCCACTTCTTTATGCATAAATGTTTGTTAGTGGCCAACATGATCCTAATGGAGATCAAATTACTTTTGCAGAGTGATACTTCTGGCAAATGTAACGTGACCTAAATTCTATAATATGAATAAAAGAACTTTGAACATAAAATGCTTGCGGGACGTTCGTTTTCACACACACCTTTCATAGTCCACGAGACACAGGCGCAGAGCTCCTTGGAAACCCCTCTCGCTGCGGTATACGTCACCACACAGATTTTTTTTTTCCCACCAGTTTCTCCATTCCGTCCCTGTATCTGCCATTTGTGAAGAAAGCAACGCACTTTTCTCAGGCTGACTCTTCCAAACACAATGTCTGCATCATCTACAACCAGGAGTTTTTGGCCATTTGACAAATTTAGTGTATTCGTTTAGTCGTGCAACTGAATGTCTGAGTGCATTTCCGCATTGAGAAACACGCCCACAAACTTCTGACCAATCGCACAATACTTGGCGCATACGCCTGTGAGGTAAAGTTAGGCCTGGGCCTTTTTTCGAGAAGGGGTGGGCAAAATTGCTATGCAAATAAAATGACGCCATTTTTGTCACGCAACTTCAATAATGAGAGCCGATTTTGGCACTTCGGATGGAGTACGCAGGGCCCTTAAGATGATTCAGTATTTAAAACAAACCGCAGTTAGCTTGTGCAGCAGACCCGAAAAAAATTTAATTGTTTATATCCACATGTATAAAATGTGCAATATTTTGTTTAAATTTCACCTGTTTTTGGAGCTGATTCAAAGAGCATGTGGCAGAATACCCCCCCCCCCCCTTACAAGCCTTTGTTACAGTCAAAAGAAACAAGTCATGTGAACAAACTGTGCAGCATTATGTACTTTTTAGGACCGTTTAGGTTTGTTCTGTAGTGGGGAAGTCCTAGAGCATTTTTAATGAGGACATACCAGTTGTTTTTGTCAAAGTTCATGCTCAATCATCCAGGTACCGTACAAAACCCAATAATGGTCAGTCAGGTCATCTGGACAGTTTCTTTTTTTTGTGGAAAGACGTTTTGCCCTCTATCCTGAGGGCTTCATCAGTCTAAGGAGTCCCATGTAAACAGTTTCCCCCTCTAAGCAGTACACTCCTTTAGTGAAGCGTGTTAGATTATTGGATTTTGTACCTGGATGACCGAGCATGAACTTTGATGTTTTGAACCACTTTGGCTGTGGCTGCCTGCTTGGGAGGAGTCGACAGGGGACAGGACAGCCCCAGAAACCATTTTATCACCAGCAAACTGGTTGGTCCACTAAAGGAGTGTACTGCTTAGTGGGGAAAACTGTTTACTTGGGACTCCTCAGACTGATGAAGCCTTCTGGATAGAGGGTGAAATGTCTTTCCACAAAAAAGAAACTGTCCAGATGACGTGACTGATTATTGGATACCAGTTGCTTAATCTAAGATGGGACACATCACACCATTAACCTCAAGAATACAATGAAGAATGATGAATCAGATATATTTTTTAATGCAAGTACTGATTCTCACATTATTGTTTGAAAATGTAAATACTACTATGTAGATATAGTATTTGGAGCTTGCTGGAAATCTAGAATGTACTACTGTCATGCTGATTCACTTTTTGTATTTTTTTTAATGCTACTTCCTCTTCAGCAGTGCAGATTGCATTTGGTGGTTAGTGGACGGCACCTGTTGTAAAAGGCCCACAGCCTCTAAGTGGCTCTTATCTAATCCATACATCCTCTTCCCTTATCTGGTATTCACAGGAGCCGGCCCAAGTGTGGCACAAGGCATGGACTATCTAATTAGGGAAAGGCTTGAGCATCCCCCAGGCTCCTTTGTAATAATGCCTGTGTTTTGTTGCTGCTGTTCTCTTGAGACGTTAATTAAGTTTGTAGTCCGTCACTCATCATGGTTCTGGGATGTCGAGGCCTGTGTGGGTGCTTTCAGTATATAGCTTTTTATTTGGAAGCATGAAGTATCTCCAGTAAGAACCCACCTGTTTCAGCTGTTTACTGTCAAGAGTTTACTTATCTGGCTCCTGTGCTACAGGCTGCTGCAGGGTAAATGTTTTAGTGTGTTGCTGGGGTAACCAAGAAAATCTTTGTTCTGTGTGGTCATGGGATTTGTACGCAAAGGAACAGCTGATTGCTCGCTCTTGTTTCCCAAAGACTATCCCGAAGGTGGATAGAATGTGCATAACTTAGAGCAAAAAGCAAGTTTAAGGATTTTATTTTTTTAATTTATAACAACACATTAGCAATGCTAAAACGAATATAAACAATTAAGTATCAGTTTTGATTATGCAATTGCAAGTATGACAATAATAGATTTAAACCTTAAAGCATCCAGATGTTTATGTGAACGTTGTTCTAAGATGCAAAAGTTCATGCTCAATAATCCAGGTATAAAATCCAACAATGTTCAGTCAGGTCATCTGGACGGTTTATTTCTTTGGAGCTGAGATGTTTCATCCTTCATCCTTAGATTCTTCGATCTGAGGAGCTCACCAAACAAAATTCATTCCCACAACAACAGCATATTCCATAGTGGAAAAATAGTGTTGGGGCCAAGATGGTGTAGATGACAGCCGACTCAGGACCCGAAGGTGCTGGGTTCGATTCCCGGTCATTGCATATCTCGTGGTGTCTCTGAGCAGGACACCTAATCCTGAATTGCTCCTGGGGCGCCTACATAGCTCCACCTGGATGTATCCCAGGTGTGATGGGTTAAATGCAGAGAGCCAATTTCATCGTTGTATGGGAACATACAATGATGACAACACATGGCACTTAAAAAACAGTTGGTTCTAAGATGGCCTCTGGGGCCCGCCCTCTCCCCCGTTAACTCCTCTGAGACAGAAGAAGAAGATCGAAGAAGTACTTTGGATGAAGGACAAAATGTCTCAGCTTAAAGAAACCACCCAGATGACCTGACTGAACATTGTTGTATTTGTTCTAAGATGTTCATTTTCTTCATTTTTATATTTGTTTGTTTTTATAGACTTTTCCAATGTTTGGTTCATTTATATATTTAGGCTTCTTACTGATAAAGTATAAAATGTGTGGACATGTTATGCTAAGGTCTGTTTATTATAAGGTTTTTCTTATGAATTTGTTGCATCGTTGTTGTTATTATAACCCATGTATGATTTCTTCTGTTTTTCTTAAGCATGAACATTCATATCCCAGCCTTACCAACATGAATTATTTCCAAAAACTAGTCAGGCAAACCTTAATCTCACATCCTCAGATACTTCATCCGGTCCCTGACGTTCATAGTTTAGGGGTGGGGCAGTCACTTTTGTGCTTTTAGTGGCCTGATGTGGGAAAAACCACCAGGCGTGCACTGACCTCTACTCAAGTGGAACTGCTCACAGCAGCAGACACGTGTTGAGACTTCACTCGCCCTTCTGCAGGAAATGAAAAGCTGACGGTTGTGACATGGGCCGTCTAATCCCCCTGCACTCAACGCCTCTCACCCCGCTCCACGTTCAGCGCCGACAGCTGGTGCAAATAGCCGCTGTGGCTCCACTGTCTATCACTGCTGGCTGACAGGAGGCTGACAAACATCACTGGGTGTGAAAGCGCCGAGTGACAGATAGGCCCTATAATCAATGTCTTATTTACCAGTTGCAGCAGCCAAATAGTCCGAGCAGTGATCGTTTACCCTGCTATGTCACTAACAATAGTTACCTGTCACATTTAAACTTTGTGAATTACACTCTTTATGGTGGTTCAGTCACCCCATCACCTTTGACTCTAGGGGTTTTTATTGTTTCAGTCTTGATGGTATTGGGGCTGATTGAAATGAAACCTTTTGTCTTCAACAGTAAGAATCGGTGACTGACTTTATTATGTCATTTTGTTGCATATTCCATGTTTTTATACGAGCATCAAGGCTATGTTAAAGATCAGCTGTAATTCACTGTGCAGAAGAGACATTTTGGAGCCTATAGTTGTGACGTACGAGGGTGGATCTCATTGGGAGATTAACAAGGTCAGTGTGCTGGCCAGGGCTGGCCTAGCCTGGTCTGGCTTGGCTTGCAGGGGGGAGGAGACTTATCTGCTTTTACTCTCACTGATAGTCTTGATCTTTTTTTTTTTTACCATACAAATCCAAAGCAGATTTAAAAGCCCTGTTTGCTTTACTTGCAGTAATATTTAGCACACAATCATGACTAACTGTAATGTTGGAAGTTTGTTTTTTGAGATAAAGCTATCAATTACATTGGAACAGAATGTGAAAACAGTATGTTTGCCCTATATGCTTCCATAGCTATTCAAATAACTATATTAGTACTATCCATAATATTCAATGTACATAAATTATATTTTGAAGTTTGAATAAAATAAGCATTATACCTTTGCACTTTGACTCATCTTATGGTAAGATGTAACCTATACAAATGTATGGGAGACTATTGGGGTCGCATTAATTTGATTTGGTACAAAACACAAAACAGTGTTTTAAGTTATCAACGATTCCCCATCTAACTGGTCACCAATAGATGGGGTAGAGGTAGGGCAGCTACTCGAGACCCCAAACTCCCAGGTTCAAGATACCTAATCCCTAATTGCTCCCCAGGCACTTGCATAACTGCACACTGCTCCACCTGAGTGTATTCCAGATGCCATGGGTTAAATGCAGAGAACTAATTATGCCATTGTATGGAAACATACAATGATGACAACATGTAAATAGCATTTTACTTTACTGAAACCAAATCCAATTTTTGTTTTGCTAGATTTGGTGTGTATTTTGTATCAAGGTCTAGTTGTCATCCCCATAATCTACCTTTTTTTATTCATTTATTTTTCAGATAAATTCAACAGCTACGTGACGCTGAAGGTGCAGAATGTTAAAAGCACAACGATCACTGTGCGTGGGGATCAGCCCTGCTGGGAACAAGATTTTATGTTGTAAGTTGCATGTTGTACTATATTCAACCTTTTGTATGTCGGGCAGCACAACGGTTCAGTGGTTATCACTGTTGCCTCACAACAAGAAGGTCCTGGGTTCAATCTCCGGTTGTACCTGGGGTCTTTCTATGTGGCATTTGCATATTCTTCTTGTGCTTACCTGGGTTTTATCCGGGTCCTCCGGTTTCCTCCCACAGAACAAAAACATGCATGTTAGTCTGCCTTCAGGCCCAGACCTCCCTTGCAAAAGAGATCTGTGATCTCAATGGGATTTTCCTGGTTAAATAAAAGTTAATAAATAAAAATATTCACATTCAAGGAGCAACATTATCCCAAGAGCTAAATTAGTAGCTCAGTTCAATCAAAAGAATTAGAAAACAAACAAACAAACAATATATAATTCTGACAGGTTGTTACTGGACGGTGTTGTTTCTGTGTCTCTTTGCATGCAGGGTACCAGTGGTGCAGTCTACATTTGTGTAGTGGGTATACTGTGCTTAGAAACCAAAGTACAGCAGTTAGTACAATGTATTCATTAATTTATTTTGATTTTTAAGCATATTGAACATTTAAAAAAATATCTGATTTTATTTGAATAAATGTACAACAAACTTTGTACAACAGTTGGCTTAGTATTAAACATATGTTATTGAATTTATAAAACGGTATCAAAGCAAAACATGTTCAAGTATTAAGCACAGAAGTATTAATTATACAAAATCAGGTTGAACCAACTCACTGTGTGTATAAAATGTTCCAAATGTGTTGACTTATCAATGCCAATGATACGTGACATGGGCTCATATCATTGGGTACTTTTAAGTGGGTATATTGAAATTCCCAAGCTTTCCCAGTGGGTATTACTCCATATACCCGCATATCACATAGACTACACCACTGCAGGGTACCTAAGTTGTTATTGTCCAGTTTAAAATATGTTTCATTTGGCTTGAATTTGGATAAAGTTATTTATTTATTTTTATTCACAACTTTAAGAAGTAAATTACTGAGCAGTTGATGTTCATTTCTTCCATGTTTTAATTTCCACATTTTTCTTTGCCAGTGAACTGTATCTATGGTGACAACAGTCGACGTGTTTCACATGTGTCATTGTTTGTTTTTGGGGCACTCGATGTAACGGTGTTTGTTTTTCCAGACCTTCATTTTTCCTTCTGTCCATTACTGATGTGTCAGTTGGTGTGATTCATCATGCAACATAAGCATTCGTTACAGTTTCCAGCAAATGTTCGGGGCCATCTGTTGCAGCAGCTTGGATCAAATCTTAAAATGGGAAATCCATATTGTGGCAAAGCCTGTTGTTTTATTTTGTAAATGCAATAATAAAAAAATATATATATATAATATTATTTGAAGACCTGAACTTTTTATAATTTTAACTATTGCCTTTTAAACACATTTAATTTTACTAATGCATAATTTAGTAGCTGAATATCTGTTTTTGCCCTTTAATATTTTAACATAAAAAATAAAGTTTTCAAAATGAACAGTATAGTTTATTATTTTGAGGTTTTTTTTTTATTTTTTATTTTTTTCTTGCAGCAGTAACATTGAGTTAATGATACCGTTTAGTCGCTTTACGTTTTGGGGAGGTGGATCACTTGTGTCCCCTTCTAACCATAAACTTCATTTTATTTAGTTTCTCTGGACCTGCAAATTCCTAAATTCTCAACCTAGACATCATATTTTTATTCTACTTGTTTCTGATTTATGTTGTAAAATGTTTATGGTTTGCACAAAAAGTGATACACACCCAGTCAAATCTGCACAATGTAATATAAAAAAAAGACAAAACAGACACTCTCTAATAAGTATTTTCCAGTTTAATTCTAAAACCTTGTTACCAGGGGGCAATTCAGCCCCCATTGCTGACAATGGCTCTTAGCTTGAACAACGTGGTGGCCGTTGGTGTCAGACGCATTCATAATGTAAAGGAGACACACTTCTGGGTGTCCTCCCCCAGAAAATTTTGAATAAAATAGATGCCAGTTCCTGCATTCTGGTGTATTTTAACGAGTTGTTAAACATCTGCATTTACCTACATCAATAAACAATTAATTCAATAACTATTTTAAAGAGCTCGGCACAACAAGAAGTAGCGCTAAGGTAGCGGCGTGAAATACAGACACGGTAGCTAAGATGCTAACGACGTAGCGCTCAGCGTTAACATTATACAGCCTGATAAACGCGTTGTACAAAATCAATTTAACAAATAAAGAATAAACTTACGCAACTAGACTTTGCAACTTGTAGCTACATACAGAATGCACACACACACAAAAATCTAGTTTTATGCATTAAACTTTAATTAATTCAACCTTTATTTAGACAGGTTAATCCCACTGAGCATCGAGGACTCATTTAAAAGAGAGACCTGATTTATTAACAAGGAATGATGACAGCAGTGAGTAAACAACAACAACAGTAGACGGTCACAAAAAAAAGTATACAGGCACAATGTAACCATTAGGCGTACTGTACAGTGTAATTATGACAAAAATGGAGGATTTACCTCAAGTCAAGTCAAAGTTTATTTATTTAGCACATTTACAACAACCACAGCTGACCAAAAGTGCTTCACACTAATTACATCATAGATAAAAATATGATAAAATGAATAAAATTGAGTTTAATAAAAATTAAAGTAGGATAAAAATTTGCAGTAAAATACCAATAAAATAATAGTACAAATGACAACCAAGACATACTATTTCAGTTGCTGCAGTTTCCCCAAAACTCGAATCGATCATGTACTACTACCTACAGTTACCTTCGTACGATGAACATGTTCCTGTTTGTTACGGTTCTATTCAGCTGCTCATGAGGTCGGCCGCAGGGCTTTATCATCTTTTACATTTTTCCAGACTCAGTTTAGGTTTTGGAGTGGTAATAAACTGTATTCCACCCTCTAAAGCAGGGCTGTTCAACTAAACTGTTCTGGGGGCCACAGATACTGAAAGCCAGCAGCTCAGGCGCCGGACATCCAGGAATTAAAGTCATTGTGTAAATAAAACAAGTGTTACAACGACCTGTTACCTTTTAAATTAGTTTATTTTGTTGCATTGAATCATAAATGCAATAAAAAGAACCCAAACCCAGAACTACCCCCTCCACCCAAAAAAACTTTACTTTTCAGGGATGCTAAGTTAAAATTTAGGGGTGCTTGAGCACCCCCCAAAAAGAGGCTAAAATCACCACTGCTTGTTACATTTTTTTTTTTTTTTGTGCAATTTTGCAAGAGCAAATAATTTAGGGAGCCTTTTTTGTTTGCACCTGGATACTCTGGACCCTCGTCGCCCTCCTCTGCACATCCCTCAATTATCTGCTGTCTTTGATTATCTTTTCTCGCATCTTCCTTTTGTTCACCCTCTCCATGAATCTAAACTGCCACAGTTGAGAATATGCAAATGCCTTCATTGTGCGGCTCCTTTCAAAATGAATATGCCATTCTCTTGCTGTCATCAAGCTTTTATTTTAATTTTATCCCTTTCAATAGCTTGTTGAATGAAACAAGGCAGGGGTGGACTATACAAGCTAAAACACAACAAAAGGTGGTTTTTGTTATCAGACTGGGAAGGACCTGACAGAAATTTCTGTTTCATTAATTGTGGAATAAATGTCATTTTGGTAAAGATTTCATAAGTGTTCCAGAATATAAACATGCAGATTTTGTATCCATATTTCTTTTTAACTTTTTTTTTTTTTTTTTTAGTTTTACTATTTATTAACATTGCTCAACCCTTGATAACTTCTTTTTTGTTCCTCAGTGAGATCAATCGGCTGGACCTCGGTCTCATTGTTGAAGTTTGGAACAAAGGTCTCATTTGGGACACCATGGTGGGGACAACCTGGATTCCTCTTAAAAGCATCCAACAGTCGGAGGAGGTTAGAATAGAAATCATCACAAAAAACGCCTGATTTCAAACTTAATAATCCATGGATTCTAATACAATAAGAAAAAAAAAAAGCCAATTTCTCTAAAATCTTCTCTCTACAATCTCAAATGTACCATTTTGGGAAAATAACTGATGGATGGAAAGGAAAATGGACACAATAAATTAATTATGCCCATACATATTCATGTTTGTGCAGGAAGGCTCAGGTGAGTGGGTGTTCCTGGACACTGAGGTCCTGATGAAAGCAGATGAGATCTACGGCACCAAGAACCCAACTCCTCATCGACTGCTGCTAGATACTCGCTTTGAGCTGCCGTTTGGTGAGTTTAATCTCTATATAAATAGACCTTCTTTACAAACAAACAAAATACTAATAAAAAAAAAAAATGCAAAATAAGGCTTGTATAAATTTTCACCTCCTTTAAATTGACGGCCATAATTCAACTAGGAAGAAAAAGATTATTGAAAAGTACCATACTTCCCACCGTACACGTTGCACCGCCATATAAGTCGCATCGGTCCAAATATGTCTAATAAAGTGGGAAAAAAAAAAAACATAAATAAGTCGCTTCGCCGTATAAGTTGCATCTATTATGCGTCACTGCTGACAACCTGACAACGTGGGCCGGTGTTGTGCCAAAAATCAATTGGCTGCCAAGTGGGAGCGTGAATGGGAAAACTTTAACAAGAATTTAATAAGATTAACACTTAAAAACAATTGTTTGCTCAGCATTATAGCAAAGGTGTGTCTCAGTTGAACTTCTCTGTAATAAATGCACTTTGACGGTCAAATCAGCTGCATTTTCAAAACCAATTTGCGGGAAGCGCGCAAAGGGAGGACTCGCTGTGCATTTCTTCTAAATTTAACTAGCTAACCACCTAAAAACAATTATTTGTTTGCTTGAAATTAGGCTAAATGTGTGTCTGAGTTGAACTTTTCTTTAATAAATGCACTTTAATGGTAAAATCGTCTGCATTTTGCCTGGGCGGCGCGGTGAAATGCAGCTAATTTGACGTTTGCTCCAGGAGTTCCGGAGCGAAACGAAAGTGGTTTTGGTATGGCAAGCCAAGTGACTCATTAATAGTCACTTTTACCTATTAATGAGAAACGTGGCTTGCCATATTAGTCGGGAGCCCTCTAGTGGCTGAAAATAGTAGTGTTTAATATTTTCCATGTCAGAATGAATGAAATAGTCAGATTTCAGCCAAAACGTGGGTTATAAATCTGGGGGAATAAAACATAAATATGTTGCTTCTTCACTGTATAAATTGCAGGCATGCTAATTTATGCAAAAAACTGCAACTTATGCAGCGAAAATTATGGTACATAAATCGTCAATCTCATCTAGAGTTTGCAAAACTTTGGCGTATAATAAATATTAAATCTCAACTACAGTTTGGCGCATTTTAGTCGAGACTTATTGAGTTTTCTCCAATAATTACTTTCTTTTTGCCACTCTCCCTTAGAGTTTAGACTGGTGAAGAACCCAGCAGTTGTTTTAATTACTTTGTAGAAACTTTATTCCATTTTTACATTGAATACTTTTTATTATTATTTGTGTAAAAAAAGAAAATAACAGCAATAAAAGCTTAAACCATCCTAGGGTTGAATACATTTACATGCACTGTATGCCTAGTTCAAGTAAATTAAACCCATTAAGATACACATAGACCCCCAATGTTTTTTAATAAATGTGACTTGGGCAAATTTGAATCACATAATTGCGTAATCCTCGAGTCATTTAATGTTTTTGATTTGAAAGCAATGTCAGTCGATCTGTTGATGCCTTGCTTGTTGCTAAGCTGATAGTGTGACGTAAGCTTCAGTTTATTTGCATATTGAACGTGTAACTGAGATCAAATCACATGGATAAGGATACAATTGGTGACGCACTTTAATGCCGGTCACAAACATGCATCGTTAGACATGTCCACTTGTGACTGGATCAGTCATGATGCATGTTAAAACCAGGTCACAGCCGCCCCAGTTTAATGCAGTTTTTTTTTTTTTTTTCTGAATTGGAAGGTCAAATATGTGCTCTGTCTACTTTTGCTGGACTTGACCATTCCTCTTTTGCCAATATCGTTTTATTGCTACCACTGTATCGTTGGCTCAACCTTTGTGATCAAAGGGCATCAAATTTATAGTGGGGGGGGGTGGGCGCGTATGTGTGCCGAGGGGGAGGCCGCTTCTTTCTCTGTTTTGAGAGGAGGCCTTTCAAGGTGTCCATGTGTGTTCTGTGCCACCAAAGCCATTCATTAAATGTGTAGGCCGGTGAGGCTTTGAAGTCCTGGCCTTTGTGTTGGTGGCCTTTAATGCACATCAGTCCACCGAGTAGCTTAAATCTACTTAAAACAGAAATGAAAGATTATTAAATATAATGTATAACAAAATATACAGTAAATAAATATCCACCTGCTTAATATCACTAAAATTAGAAACATTTTATATAGAAATGATGAAGAAAAACTGGTTGAGGCATTTGTCACATCTAGACTGGACTATTACAAAGGTTTGTTATGTGGGTGTCCAAATACTTAAAAAAGTCTTCAGTTAATCCAAAATGCTGCTGCCAGAGTCTTAACTGGAGTTAGTGGGAGAGATCATATCTCTCCAGTTGTAGCTTCTCTCCACTGGCTCCCTGTCAAATCCAGAATTGAATTCAAAATCTTAATTCTAATCTACAAAGCTCTCAACAACCTAGCTCCATCTTATATTCAAGATCTTATTGTTCCATATTTTCCTAACGGAGCACTTCGCTTGCAGACTGCAGGTTTACTTGCGGTTCCTAGAGATTCCAAAAGCAGAATGGGAAGAAGATCTTTCAGTTATCAGGCTCCTCTCTTGTGGAACCAACTTCCAGTTTCTGTCCGTGAGGCTGACACATTGTCCAGTTTTAAGACTGGGATTAAGAATTTCCTTTTGGATAAATCCTATAGTCAGGGTTGGCTTGTTATGTTGTTCTAGGCTTAGACTAATGGAGGACAAATTGACCTAATTTCCTCGAATGATTTGTTAAAATTGAATAGTTTTAATTGATACTATTCTATCTTAATGTGATTCTTGACCTGCCATTGTGTATCTGCTCTTACCAAACCCAGCCGGTCGAAGCAATGACCACTAGTCCTGAGCCTGGTTCTGCTAAAGGTTTCTTCCTCGTGAGGGAGTTTTTCCTTTCCACTGTCGCCTTCACGCTTGTTCAAGATGAGAGTTCTGTGATGGAGTTAAACTCAAAGCAGTCTGCTCCTCAGATATAGAAGAATAGAATAGAATAGAATAGAATAGAATAGAATAGAATAGAATAGAATAGAATAAAGTAGAATAGAATAGAAACATCCTTTAATGACCCATGGATGGGAAATTCAAGTGTAACAGCAGCAACAGATATAAAGTTAAAAAATATTGCAATATAATGTTATTATCTTACTTTATATATATGCATGAATATTTCTGTTCAGTGCCCTGAGATAACTTCTGTTGTGACTTGATGCTGTATAAATAAACTGAATTGAATTGAACTTAAATGATTTCTAACAGAACAGTAACCATCTCCCAAGCAATGGACACCATTGGGAAAAAAACATACAATAATTAAAAAAAAATGGACATTTAGTCAGTTCAACCGTGTCGTATCTTAATACAATGAATATGCTTTTATCTTTAGACTATTTTTGACGTTTGCATTCCTTAGCAGGTTCTGAAAATGAAACAAACATATCATGTTAGTCGGTGAGAACACTGTCTGAAATGTTTGTTTTGTGAATATTTTGTCACCAGACATTCCAGAGGATGAGGCACAGTACTGGACTGGCAAACTGGAACGTATCAACATGGGAATCCATGATGAGGTATGGCACATTTTATTAACTAATAATTGTTTGTTGCCTTTTTTAATATAGGCATAAGTGTATAATCGTTTTTTTTTCTTCCTATTTTGGTAATTAGGTTGCCAATTTAAATTACTAGCAACAAAGAATAGTTCTACTACATATTCTTGCATAATTTTGATCCGTGCTGATTTCTTTTCTTTGCAGTATCATCTTCAAGAAGATGAGCAGAAGGACTCGCTGCCATTTGCAGCCTCCCAGTGCTGTGAGTTTCTTCCCTTCTGGACTTATCCCCCCCTCTAGATGGAGCCAAATCATCACCTTCTTGCTTTCAGTCTTATTAGCCCTGTTTCATGCTGTATTTATACTAATATCACTGTTTAAACCAAAGGATTGTAAATTCCCAATTTAGTGTGTTCATATTGCACCACCCTAACTGAGACTCCAGTGTTTTTGTATTGTGAAGGTTATTAGAACTGCTTGTGGTTTTCTCATTGGCACATTTTTTCAACACAAGGGCACTTTTTGTTTGCACAAACCCTGCCTCCTTGTGACTTACCTCTCTTTCTCACTTGTAATATTTGCACTTTCGCCAGGCAACTATTTCGGATGGGTCAACCCAATGAGTATGTAACATACTTTAATGGAACTCTCTCCCTGGCCAACCCTTATTTCTTTGTTTGCATGTTGTAATAATACCCAGTAAAATGCCATATAAATGATTTATATGCATTTTAATCTCACTGCCTGTTTCAATTAACACTTTTTTTACTTGCTGCTTTCTTTGACGTCCTTTGGCCCTTTCTTTCCCTAATGTGCTCCTGTTCTTTTTAAATCTGCTCTGTTTTTATAACATGAGTGGTTTAGTGCACTAACTTGAAAAAAACAAGTCAGAATATAATGTCACTTTAAACCACCTAAAATTAATCTAGAAGATTGGAGATGTTTTACTGCAAAATGGGCCTTTGGCACTGTACAAACGATATTAATTCAATATCCAGTGATGCAACATAAGTTTTTTTTTTTTTTGTAGAAACAAATTTAATTTAAATTTTGTTTGTTTGTTTGTTTATTCAGTGTGTTTCATGTGAAATGCTGAGAATAATACTGTATGTTGGCACAACCACTTCCTATTACAGAGACAATTTCTGCTTAAGATCTCTGAAACTTCTGCAGCCATACGAGGGCATCGGGGCATATTTGCTAATATATTTGCAGCCTTTAATTAAAACGGAGCTGTACCAGAGACTGGTATGTTTGTGCTAGGCTCCCACTGTGTTTACTTTGATGAAATCATCTGCAAATCAAACATGGTGGCTACCTGGTAACGCTGCATTTCTACACTGACCTAGCTGAATGCTTTTTCCACTCTCTTTTTCTGATGGTGTAATTCAGATGTGTCAGTTCACCCTGTCGTACAACAACTGCCACATTTTACAATTTTATGTAATCATTTTGGTTGTTTTTGTAAGCTTATGACAAATTTGAATACGAGATTTGAAAATGCAATAAAATATGGCAGCTTTAGGATTGTCTTATAAATAGTTTTCCAAACAAATGTGCACACAGATAAAAAAAAAATCTGTTTGTGTGCTCAAGACTTAATTTGCTCTGTACTTGCTCTTGGAAAGTTAAATGCATACTGACGGTCTTTTAAGATACAGTAGTCCCTCGTTTATCGCGGGGGATCCGTACCCTGAAGACCAGCGATAAGTGGGAAAAAACGCAAAGTAGGAATAGGTAGTTTATATAAAAACTTATAAACACTTCCCACACTCTTGCAATTTTCTAAACAATGTTTCTAAACTCTAAAGGCTCTAAAAGAGCACAGAATGTCATGATTTCAGTTCCCTGCCTCCTCTGCTCTTTGCCACCTGGAAATGCTCTTGGCCACGCCCACTTCTCCACGCTGCACACTGAACAGCTGCAGCAGGAAGCTTATCCTGCACTAAGGGTTGCAGAAAGCTGCAGGAGGAAGCTTTTTCTGCAGCTCTGGGCTGCACAAATGTGCAGCAGGTGCTAAATAATTTAAAATCATTTATTTTAAATAAAAATTACATGCCAATCATGCAGCTCAGCCTTCATTCGGCCAATTGTGTGTCATGTCCAATCTTATTTTGAAAAATCGCGATAGTGAGTCCGCGATAAATGAACCGCGAAGTAGCGAGGGACTACTGTATTCCTGTTATGAACATTCACAGAATCTTATTCAATATCTCTTCCTGTTGCAGCACTGGATGACCAGGACAGTGCTGTGGATGATCGGGACAGTGATTACCGCAGTGAGACAAGTAACAGTTTGCCTCCTCGTTACCACACCACAGCTCAGCCCAACTCATCCATGCACCAGTACCCCATTGGGCCTCGGTCGCATCACCTCTCAGACTGCTGCACAGACTCCATCAACAGTTTTGATCTAAACTACAAGGACCAGAGAGGAAGCAGGTAGACAAAGTACAGGCAGAGGAATTTCTAATATTAGGATAAAACATATTTACTAATATTATGATCACCAGTGCAGTACAGAGAAGTTCAGTGACGCATTTCTCTCTGAGGATTAGAAACTTGATGGAATGCTATATGGCAGTTATGTCAAAGCTCCAAAATTCATGGTTGAAACCCATGCCTTTGTGTAAAAAGTTGTTTTTCTCTGAAAAAAGAAGCTGAGAACTTGTTTACTGATTTATTTATTTTTTTAATTAAAAGCTTTGTGTGAAAAATGCTATGCTAAAGACCTCAAACCACATCGAGCATCCACCATTTTGAGAATTGAATAAAGAAAGGAGAGGCGGCCCATGTCATGTCAAGGGGCCTTCCTCCCATTTTTATTAGAGACACGCTGCTCGCTCCCTCACTATCCATCCTTCAGTTCAAACAGTCTTATACTGACATCCAATGGTCGAAGAAAGGTGCTACACTCAAAACAAATTAACCAACACTTCTTAAATTTGCAATAATTACTAATTATTGTCAAATTTCTAACAATATTATCATTTATTGCAATAATTTCTGAGACAATTAATTGCCCATCAAAATTTGTTATTGTGACATGCCTAATGACAACATACGGTAGTAACAGACACATTTTGACCATATGCAAATACATTTTAGTCATCTATGTAACAAATGTCTAACAAGGTGTCTTGTATTGTTTTGTCTTAAGGGTAGTTTAGTTTTTAAAGTACATTATAATAAAAGTTGTTTTTGAATTGTGTCATTTCAATCTGCTAGATAATTATTGCTAATCTTGGTTAGGAAAGTTGTTTCGTTGTTGCAAAATGGAATGACTGAAGAGCATTTTTACTTTTTTACACTTGCATGATACTGTTCCTGTCTTTAATGTCTGTTTTTATCACAATGCTTAACGTGTTTTCTTTGCAACGTTTTCTTTTTTCTTTGCTTTTCTCCTGCTCTTTTATCCATTCCCATACCCTTTTTAAACCTTTGCATTTACCTAATAAGATCCATAAATCAAAAAGGAAGAATTAGAATAATACCTGTAGATTCTGGCATGGGAGTTGAAGATTGGGAAATCAAATACAAAGGGCGAGGAAAGCCTCAGCTGAGTGACTTTATAGATGATGAGGAAGACAACATGATCTTTCGAATGAGAAAACCCTACCCTGTGCCTTCAAGCCCACCAACCAGTCAAACGAAGATTCACAGTGGTTTTCATCCTGCCACCTACCCTGAAGGATATGAGACTATTGATAGACGGCGAAAGACAAAGATCATGGACCCAGGAGGACTTTCTAGAAAAGAGACAAAAAAAGAAAGGGAAGAAACTTCTCAGCCTGACTTTGCACTCTTCCATGAAAAAAGGGGTGATGTGTTAATCCGTCACGTACCAGAGATGCTGGAAGAAGAGTGTATGACATCAGGCCTCAGACCATACAAGGATGAACTTCTATATAAAACAAGGATGTGGGCTAAAAATGATCTGGACAACACTTTAAAGAACTATGTGGCATACAAAAATGACCAAGGTGGAATGAGAGTACAGTTTGATTTTAAATTAGAGAACAGTCAAGATTCAAAGTACTCTCCAGGAGAGAAAGATCTTGATGTCTTTATGTCAGAAGACTGTTACTTAGAAAATGCAAGACATTACAAAGAACGACGTTCTTCCTTGGATGAAGGCCACATAGAATATTCTCAGGGCCTTCATGAAAATAAGTGTGTTACGTCAAAATGTGGCAGCTGGATTTCAGATGCAATGCTTTCCCCTGTAGAAGAGCCAAGTGATGAATATGTAGACGCAATGGATGAGCTACAGTGTCTAGTTGAAACAGTCTCTGAATATCTTGCTGAAAAAGAAGAGGAAATTAGCAAATATGGTTCCCTTCCTAAGTCAAGCAAATCAAGACTATCTTCTCAGGGTAGTATTGGAACTGATTCCTTTGGAGGGGAACCAGTTAGTTCAAAGGAGACCAAAAGAGAATCCCAAAAGCAAACCCCTCCTGATCAGAGTGCTTTAGGTGTAAAACATGCCATGAACTCATTGTTTAGTTCTCTCACTGACAAAGTTGGAGGAGGCCTCAAACAGCCTGCTCCAACTCCACAAGAACCATCGGCACAACCTTCACCATCTGGTCTCACAAGACTTTTGTCCTTTATCCCTAAATCAAATAATACAGCTCCTGTAGCGGTTGTATCTCCAGTAGAAAGTTCTGAAAAATCCTTTAGTTATTTGCCTTCTCAGCTAACACAAGCCAAAACACAAAGTCATCAGGAAATGGGAAAGGCAACAAAGAGTCAAACCCAACCATGTGCAAGAGAAAAAACACCTGAGCTTGGAGCTTTACATCAACATGCTCCAGGAAACTTGGCTTTGGGAAAACTGAATCCTTTAAAACTGTTTTCAGCTGGAGAGAAGACTGCCTTTGAACACAAACAAGAACCAGAATTTAAATATTCTCAAGAACAGTCAGATGTAAATAGTGCTGATAAAAGTGTTCATCTAAGTGGAAAGTCAAGGACGTCTGAAAGCACTATCAGATCCATACCAGTAAGAATTCCATTACAAGATCAACCATTGAGCCATATTTATGGTAAACAAAATCCAGGAATTTGCAATCAAGAAAATGTGCAAGTTCCAGAGCCACAAAGTTGTACTAATCAAACTGCAAACACTGGATTTTTTAGCCCTTTTAAGAAGTCATTAAGTTCATTGATTTCACCAGTTAGTACAATTCCCATCCATAGAGCTCCTCCTGTGGCAGTTTACCCAGTGTTTAGAAACAAAGATGAGCCCCAACTAGATAAAAAGGTGGAAGACCCATCACTAAGTAGTAAGCCTAAACAACCTTTTATCTCTTCTGAAAATGTTTCCCCTCTGCAGTGTCCCAAAGCAGAAGAGGGCATGCTTTCTAGTTTTATGAAGTTTTCATCCACTGAAGACAATAGTGCCTCTATGAAAATACATAACAATTCACAGGGGTACATTGACTCATCTTTATCAAGCTCCACCACTTTTTCACATAATTCCGCCATACAACAGGAAAACACTGAAAGAGGATGGTTTTCCAGCATATTTAACCCCCCATCTGCTTTCACTGGTTTGAACCAAAATCATCATGATAATTATCAGTCTCAGGACAGTAAAGTCTCATCTAGTACACAGTATACATCAAATCTAAAAACAACAGTAACTTTTCATGGCATGCAGCATCAATGTTTTAGTGAGACTGAATCACAGAGTTTTAACACCAGCCCATTTAAATGTAGCTCAACTGAAAACATTTCTCATATTGACTATAATCATCCCAAACAAGGACTGCTATCTGGACTACTTAAATTTGGCTCTAACACTGATCTTTCTGGTAATGTGTCGCAGCAGGCAAGAAATCAGGGCCCTCGGTTCAATAATGCTTCACAACTCCCTCACCATTCTAGCCTACAACAAAATTCTACAACTCCACAGAAAGGTGGTCTTCTCTCAGGGTTACTGAAATTTTCATCATCAGAAACTCTACAGCAAAAAGTACAGTCTTCTGACGCTGACGAGCAAAGAAATGTTTATAGCAGTTATCCTGAACAACAACAGATCTCAGGAGGAACTCAACAAACACAACCTCAACAAAAGGGGCTGCTCTCTGGCTTGCTCAAATTTGCATCTTCTGACAATAGTTCAGTTAGTCAAACAAGTCAAGAACCTAGTAGTTTTCAGCATAAACAACAAGACAACAGTATACAAAATATTCAAGTTTCAAGTGACGGTTTCCATCTGAAGGGAAACACATTTAACCAGCAGCGTGCACAACAAGAAACATGTAAACCAAGTGTTACTCGACAACAAACTGTTCCACTTCAGCAGCGTCAGTCCCAACAAGGTGGCTTTTTATCTGGACTTTTCAAATTTGCTTCAGCTGACAACCTAAGCACACAAAATCAGTCATCAATGCAGACACATGGAATTTCCCAAAGTAAATCCAGTCATGAGCAAACAAGACTTAATAACATCCCAATTCTGAACCAGCATCAACCTCAAAATAACCAAACACAATCCTCTCAAATAAGTGGGCTGTTTTCTGGACTATTCAAATCAGCCTCAGAAAACTTGACACAGCAGCAAAATGAAAGCACCTATGAGGTTCAAACAAGTCAACACATCAAAGTGCCATGTACGCAGGCTTGCCCAGCACAAGTGGAGACAGCAAGTCAATCTGGAGTGCTCTCTGGGTTATTTAACAAATTAACAGCTTCTGAAGGCACACACGCGAGTTGTCAGAAATCAGCAGAACATATGCCACAACAAACGAGTGCTTCATCTACAATCACAATGCAAACACTCTTGCCAAATCATTCACTTAAGTTAGTTAGTAATTCAACTCAACCATCCTCACAAGGACATGCAGATAAAGTGAAGGCCACAGACACTGCCAAGCAAGGCTTTTTATCTGGATTGTTTGGCAAAAATGTTTCAGAAGACCCTTGTCCTAATCAAGAACCAAAGTCCCAACAACTTGCACCCTCATCTAAGGTCTCATGGCTAACTTCCTCAAACTCTACAATGGATAAGTTGCCAAGATCTGTTCCAGAATCTTTAAATCCTGAACAGAGCAGACGTGCTTTAATTAGAGCACCTGAGTCGATTCATTCTGAGAGCTTAGACTTGCGAACATCGACTGCTTTTGCAAGATCTCTCCAGAGTCAAGCGACTCAGTACTCATTTAGTACAGGTAACTTATCCCAGTTGCACTCCGCTCACTCACCTCTATCAACTAATCCAGTGACCCATAGTACAGGCAATATTTATTCCTATTTGCAAACTCATACTACTTCTCCTATCATGACCTTGCCGTTTATTTGTGGAAGCAGTCCCTCTTTGTGTGGAGCTACAAATCGTAATCCTTATCAAGATCAGTTAACTGACAGTGGAGTAAGTCCCACCTATGATGAAAACCAGTGGATCCGTGAAAGTGTTCTTTGGCAGCAGTTTCAAA